AATGCCTCAGTGGACATTATCAATTGGGAGAGCAGTCCTAAAATTTCTAGTTTGCGTATGTCACCTCTCGAAGAACAACCCAATCAAACGGTATTTGACGCTTTGCAGGAGCCAAAGTCTGCTTGTGTTTCACCGGCCAGTTCAAATGGTGGTGTTTATAGTGTAAGTGTATTATAATTACTATTAATATAATTTAAATGATGATTTTGTTTTTATATGAATTTCAGAGCGAATTGCTGGAACAATTCGGATTGAACTTGCATCGCATTGAAAAGGATGTACAACGTTGTGATCGCAATTATCCTTATTTTGCTAATGAAAATTTAGACAAATTACGAAATGTCATTTCAACGTAAGTAGAATAAAACACACCTACTTAGCAAATTTACTTGTTTATAGTTATTTAGACATAAACCATCTTTGGGAAATCTAGTTGATCATTGATCCCATTTAAAAATCCACTTACGAAAATTTTAAGATCGGTTGTAATTGATCATATCTCTTGTATTAAAACAACATAAGAACAAAAAACATATTTATTTTCAGCTACGTTTGGGAACATTTAGATATTGGCTACATGCAGGGCATGTGCGATTTAGTGGCTCCTCTACTCGTTATATTCGATGATGAGTCGTTGACTTATAGTTGTTTTTGCAAATTAATGGAACGTATGATTGAAAATTTCCCCAATGGTGGAGCAATGGATATGCATTTTGCCAATATGAGGTAATAATGTAATTGGTAACAATACTATAATAACCTAATTATTCATTTTATGTCATAAAAGATCTTTGATACAAATTCTTGACTCGGAAATGTATGACCTCATGGATTCAAATGGTGATTACACACATTTCTATTTCTGTTATCGTTGGTTTTTGTTGGACTTCAAACGTGAACTGGTTTACGATGATGTATTCTCCACTTGGGAAGTAATATGGGCAGCCAAACATGTGGCTTCTGGACATTTTGTATTATTTTTGGCATTGGCTTTACTGGAAACTTATCGCGACATAATTTTATCGAATAGTATGGATTTTACCGATGTCATTAAGTTTTTCAATGGTAAGTAAATGTTTTTCATTTACTAAGTAAATATATTGAGATTATATAAATTCATTTTGCAGAAATGGCTGAGCGACACAATGCCCAATCTATTTTACAATTGGCGCGCAGTTTGGTTTTGCAATTGCAAATGATTATTGAAAATAAATAAACAAATTAATTAATCAATTGCCAACTAGTTATTATAATACATTTAATTATGTGCATGTAAATTAGATTTATGTTTAGCATAAATAAATTCACAAGTAGAGGCCAAAATCAAAGAAATTAAATTCTTCCTATAGTTGTAGATCGCGAATGAAACTAACTCTATTGAAAACTTCCACTTTAATTATATAATTTTACTTGTGGTAGACAATTACGATTTTTATAAATGTTTTCAACTACTTAATTATTAAATTACAATCATTTTTGGCGTAGTTTATAAGCAAAAAACAAATAAATCTTTACAAAAAAACTAAATCACTTTATAGACAAATCGAAAAAATCTCTCTTAGAATTCTTGTAAAATAATATTCCATAAAAATGCACCGTCATTGCTCTGATAAAAATAGTTTGTGTTTTTATTGGGTTTTCAGGAGAGTTTGTTTGAGGGTGTGTTATTGAGAAGTATTATATGTTGAAATCGCATAAAAAAAATTTCCGAAAATTGATTTTATCAGGCCAATGACGATATGTTGTCAGTAGTTGTTAACAAAAGAAAAGAATATTCGAATATGAAACGATTTGCTCAATTTAGAAAAATTATAATTAAGGCAGCTTTTCATATCAAATTAAGAGTAATGAATTTATTTTACTAAACAAATCAAATAGTTTATACATATTAAACAGGAGAAAAGAAACAAAAATAAGCCAAGAAGTAATATATCAATATTTACATATTTACAAAAGAAAAACTACATTTAAAAAACCGATACGAGTAAAATTTTATCTATTAATTAAATTAGAAAAAAAAAAACTATAATTCTAAAACTAATTGTAATTCTTGAATTTCAAAACAAAACTTAGAAAATCAATATCCTTAAGAGACTGTTATCTAAATTCCTTTTTATTCTATATCAATGTACTGTACTGTAATTTATTTATTTATATAGAAAACAAAAAATAAATTAAAAAAAAAAACAAAATATATATAAATGTGTCCTTGTGTACCTTATAAAACAGAACAAAAAGAACTATTATAATTGTTTTATACCCAAAATCTTTAAGAATTTATTTTTGGATATTTTTTACTTAAATATTTTTAAAACATTTTTCCCCTTTTTATAAAATTACTATTTATGGTTATTATTGTTTTTAAATTTTATTTACTAGTTAAGTTTCATTTACATTTCTTATTTTAATTGTATTGTGAACATTTTACAATTACTAAAGTGTATTTTAATGCATTTATAATTATTATTTTCATAACATTAATCATAAAATATAACAACAGTTACTTAAAATTAGTAAAATTTTTAAATAAAGAAAAACACAAAAAAACTAGAAAGAACTTGAAGTTTTATTTAATAAAACTTATTTGATAGATTTTTAAAGTGGCTATTGTATACTTAGGGCCTTATTCATAACAATTTATCAAAGGTTTATAAGACAATTTTTCATACAAAATTTGTTCTATAAGCCTTTGATAAGTTGTTATGAATATGGAAATCTATTTTTAAGACTTTAATATCCAGTTTCGTGGAGACATTTGTGTAAAAGTGTAAAAAGTGGAATTTTCAAATTGTATTCTATTGTACCAAATCCATATTTTTGCAAATTTATATCAATATGTGTAACACAAAACCATTAAAAGCCCACTTCTTTAGTCAGTAAACTAATCAATATTGTATGTATCAATAACCAAGTCTAATAGACTGGTCCTTAGACTTGTCAATAGACTAGACAGTTTATTGTCTCTCAAAGACTAGAGACTCTAGTAGTCTATAAACTAGAAAATAGACTAGTCTATAGAATAGACATTAGATTAGTATATTGTCTGATATATAGAATAGTCCCTATACTAGCTCAAAGACTAATTAATAGAGTAGTCCTAATAAGTTCTCTCTTTTGTAAATGTTATTGCTGCTTGTATGGTCTCTTCCATATTGTATTCTTTGTAAAATTAGATTCTGAAGTTTGGTAAATATTTGATCGAAATCGGTAGTCCTTTGTATAAAACTACAATTTTATATTATTATTGTAATAGTTAGTTAGTTAGTTTGAAAGGAGGATGTATATACATCATATCCGAAGAAATACACCTAGGCTTCTATCGGGCCTGTTGTGCGCTCCTTAACCAGTGCCTCAGGTGGGAATCGAACCTACCACCTTCGGTCTACCAGACTAGTACACTAACCTACCGGAGGCTCATTGATGTACGATTGTACTTTCGAAGATAAAATTGTACCAATTTTACTAACCCTGGTGTAAGGGCTAAATGAAATATGGGCAGAAGTCAATCAGTTTCAGTAAGGTTCGCCCTTCTTGCAATAGATTATTTCCAAATTTGCGACCTATAGTTTGATAACAATGTTTTCGTGAATGAAATCGTCTAGGATATAATCAGTGGATATACATTTATACTAATATTTTCTTAGGAATATTGGTCCTTTACCCACCAGTCGGCTTAGAATAATTTTCTGACTTGATTAAGTTATATCCGTCTGTCCTTCGTCCGTCCATTTTGAAGATAATTCAATGAAATTTGACACATGTCATACATTTGGACTACGAAAGAACCTATTGCTTTTGGTTTCACCTAGTTTCCATGCAACCGATTCGATTCATCTAAAAAATTCGACTCATCTAAGTACATAAATATGTATAAGCCATAACAAATCAGTCAATTTTCTTAGTGACCGACCTCATTTAATCATAGTGCTCATATAAATCCTCCTTTTCATCAATAAATTACTTTAATTTATCGGAATTAAAGTAAAAAATAACATTTAAATTTTCTTCAGAATCTGCGTAGGGTATCATCTGATTGGCCATGACCGATTATATCCGTATAGATTATGAAAATGGTAATGATTTTAAGAAAAAGTATTTAATTTTATTTTTAGTACTCAAAAAACTGGTTGTGAAACTAAATAGGCAAAATTTAAGGACCCAAGTTTTGTCCCAAAAGTCCTTCTGATTTGTTTAAGCTTTTTTTAAACGCTTTGCTAGTAAAGTAACTGTCATATGACTTACCATAAAGCTATTAAGTTTTTTGTTATAAAAAAGCAAATATCGTATATTACTTGTACTAAAAATAAATTCGAAATGCGCTTTTATTTTCGGTATAAAAAGAGTATTACAATTTAAATATTATAACAGTTATTTTTAATATTTATGTTTATAGCAAGATAAAAGAACACTTATTTTATAAACATTATTTGTATGCTAAAAGTATAGGATACAAAGTGTCCACATCCAAGATGATAATTACTTTCCATTCACTTTATGCTTATAGTGCAATTCCTTTGATGGACAATCTAATAATAATTTAAAAACAGTTCGAATTTATTAAATGAAATTGTGGTTAAAATAGTTATTTTACAAAAAATTTTAACATGTTGCCAGCAACATTGTTTATATGTACGTTGTTTTAAATGTACAGAGAAGTCAATTTAAAGGATGTTTCTTATTTATATGCATTTAAATTTTTATTCATACATATTTACCAGTCTAACAAATTAATGTTGTGCAACATTGCTTAGCAGCAATAATGTTGCCAGTACACACCAAATGTTTACAAATAGTCCTTTTTGTGTAGTATGTAAAATTAAAGAAATACAAAATTTCATTGAATTTGTGGTGGTGAAAAGGAAATTCATTGAAAAAAATATACCGAAAAAATACAATAAGCGCATGTCCTTTAAGGATGCTAAATGTTGCAAACACATTGTTTATGGGTAAAAATATTTTAAACAACACAACGCAAAAGTAGTTTCAAGTTGTGCATCACATTGTTAACAAGCGTCTAGCGGTTTTAGGATATATGTATAAAAAACAAAACAATAACAAATGGTTTAAAATATTATTTATAAAAACAAATAATAAAATTATAAAAAACAACAATAAAAAAGTTATTATGGCAAAAGAAAAATATAAATTATTTTAAAAAGTTATTAAAACGTTTAAACAGTGAATAATGTTAAATGAAATAAAGAAAAATCTTAAAACATTTTAAAAAGAATAGTGTCTCAAAAAATTATAAAATTATTAAAAGAATAAAAAAAAATAAATAAAATTTAATAAAAATAAATCAAATGTTTTCAATATGACCATAACAACTAAGGAATTCAGTGATCTATTACAATATTTCTCTGTGAAAAATGCTTCCAATCACATTATATCGTTGGCTTTAACAGTCAACGATTCATTTGTTGTGGGATTTAAACAGCAAACCGTTACATTCGAGCAACCGCCCTGGGATATACTCGATGGAGATAATGCTTCAACGTCATCACTCTTCAATCAATACATAGATAATTCCTCCAGCCTACAATATGCTACCAATGATACATTTTTAAACAAAACCCAATTGAGTGTCAAGAAACGCAACAGTACGGAAATACCCATATGGTTGATACCATGCTACAGCATTATTTTAATATTTGCTATTGTAGGCAATTTACTGGTGGCCTCAACATTGTTTCAGAATCGTCGTATGCGTACAATAACAAATGTGTTTTTAGCAAATCTCGCAATTTCCGACATGCTGCTGGGGGTCCTGTGCATGCCCATCACTCTGGTGGGAACGTATTTGAGACATTTCATTTTCGGTGAATTGGTGTGTAAATTTATACAATTTGCTCAGGGTAAGTATTTATCTATGGGATTACCGCCATTAAATCAACATAGATATACATACGTATGTATGTGAATTTTACTAAATAAACAAAAAGGAAACATAAAAAAGCACCAGAAATGTTTATGTGGGCACATTTATTTACTTGTGACAATCCGTTTGAAATTGGAAAAATTGCTTGTTACTCATACACTGCAGAAAGGAATAAATAAACACAAATTCCAATTTTTAGTTAAACTCTACAAATCATGATTCATGATTAACTCGGTTTTATGGCATGTATGTAAATATCTTCACATTAAAGAACCAAGCGTAGAACTATATAACTAACCATTCAAATTTATGTGGTGTAGTTATAAAAATAAATCTTTTTGTCATTTAATCTCTAGTCAGTGTGTATGGGGTAAAGTCTAAAAAAATCAATCGTCGAATGGTCAAAAGAAAAATGACCAAATAATAATATGAACATTTATCAAGAATAATGAGCCGTAGTCTATTTTACTCATTGTTATTGAGATTTATTTGTTTATGCCGAAAATCTTACAATTACGGTGACTTAGTGAGGATTAAAACATACAGTTTTATGCATTAATAAATATTTATTTCATTTGCCAAAAAATGACTAAAGTTCAAATTACGAATAATAGATAAATAAGCGAAACTAATGTCTTTAATTATGCGTAAACAATTTTATGAAATAACGTGATAATTACACAGTGATATAACAAAACAAGGCGATGCTGATCATATAATACCCTACACCAGTTATGAGTATAAAATATGATTTAGTTTTCATATTAAAGCATTTAAGTTGAATTGTACCTTGCCTCAGATATACTTAAGCCATTTATTGTTGAAAGACTAATTTTCTGAAAAAAGGCTTTATAAGGGGCTTGGAGAAATTGAACCGATTCTCATAAAATTTAGTAGGTTGATTTACGGTTACATAAAATGTATTTAGGCTGAATTTCATGACGACATTAGTCTTTTTAAGCCAATTGTGGACATTTAACTCATATTTTGAAGGGGACTTTGTGAAGGAGCTAGGGTCAAAGGAGGACCTATTAATTCAAAATGCATCCGGGGACGGACAGACAGACAGACGGACGGACAGATGGATGGACATAGCTAAATCGGCTTTAAGGTGGATATAAGACAAATATTATTGTGCGTTACAAACAGTATACCCTCCCTAATAAAGTGGTGTAGGGTATAATTATGAGTCCATTTAAACCGACTTTGAAATAATTTGTTTTATTTTTTCCAAAAAATAAACAAATTTAATATTGATTAAAAAATTTCTGATAAACAGACGCACAGTGGTAAAGAGGGAAAAAATTCTGTAACATCTAAACGGTTTTTCCGGTTATAATGAAGTTTTACGTGTGTAAAGAGGAAGTGTGGTCGAGTTTGGAATTTGTTTATGTTTTGAAATTTGGACCTCAAGGTTCCTACTTTGCGAAGAACTTTTTTGTCCTTTCACATGTAAAATGAAGGTAGAAATATTTAAAATTGTATAGACTTTAGCATTGATAGTGAAAAAGTTATTTCCCTCATTTTTATTTCTATACCACTGTGCGCGGCTAAAAGGTGGAACGAATTATTTGCATCCGAAGGGTATGAGGCGCCTAGGAGGATATCTAGAAATGAAATTAGGCAAAAGATCTTGGTTGGATTAATTCGTTACAAAAATCAGTACGTTACTTACATCAAAAGTGGTATACAAAAATGATATTTAACCATATTAAGTAAAATTTAATTCATTGTCTTCATTTTATAGAAAATTAATTGAAAATGGTGTTCATGTTCGATGCAATAAATCATTATATAAACAAAACAAATAAAAATGTTTTGTAATGTCAATTATAATTAATTTCAATATGTAAATAAATATTCCATTATAGGTAGTTTATTATTAATAACCATAATGATTTATGTACATTCAACTTATATTTATTAATTTTAATTGGTCAGCAATGCAAAATATACATACATATGTGTGTATGTTAATGGATATAAATAATAGATAAATATGGTAATCCCTGCAAAAAAGGAGAGGTTGTTATGTTCCACACTGGCCGAAAAAAAAGCCTATTTATTTTAACAACATTATGCTCTACATCACAGGGATTCCTTGCATCTGGCAAATGTGTTTAAATCTTAAGCTTATTTTTTTCGTACTTCAAATTTTGTTATCGGAAAAACTATTACCATTTATTGTTCACTATTATTGACATTCTAACACCAACCAAAATATTTTTTTCATAAAAACTAAAAATGTTAGAACAAAAAATTCACACAGTGAAATATGTATTTTCAGTGTCCTTTTAAAAACAATTAATCATGTCTACCTTAAAACATATGTAAGTATGTATGTATGTAAAATTAAACTTTCAAACTATCAGGAATGACATATAATCGATAAAAGAAAACAAAACTTGTTAATGTGATAAAATCCATTATCGGGTTTTTAAGTTATTTGGTCCTGGCAGATGTACCCTTATGGCGAATTATTCCCCTTCTACCCTACATATGTATATAGGTATTTCCAGCAAAAAGTCTAGTTTTGTCACGACACGTACTAAAACTCTATATTGAAGTCATGTAAATAAAAGAAATACTTATTTGTATGTATGTTTTTGAAACAACAACAACAAATAATTGTAAACTGACAGTAAATATGAATGACATTAATACGTACTTTACTCAAACTACATATTGCATTTCTAAAAGTTTAAATAAAAGGCAAAAATACTAACACAAATACTTACAAATAGAGAAATATTCCTGCATACAAAAATACTTATGTCTACATATAAAATACCTCAATGTTTAATGCTTAAAATTGCACTATTTTGCCTCATATGTATTTCACATAAATATAACCCTACAAGCATTCGGATACAAATTCAAATGAATTAAAAATTTAACAATAATTTGGTAAATATTTAAGAGAATTACTTTAAATTGTATTATTTATTTTACAAAAGTTTTAATTGACATATGTTTGTTTGCTGGGTATATTGATGTCACCATTGTTAGAATGACTTTGTGCGGATGGTGACATTTTTAACCATAAATAAATTTATTCCAGCAATCAAACACATAAATTACGTTGTAATTAAAACAGAAACCAAAAATTACAACAATGACAAATTTTGAAATAATTTTAATAGAATTTTCTCACATATAACAACATTAGAACGTTTTACCCAAAATCCCTTTTTCATTTTAAACGAAATTTAAGGTTTTTTTGGAGGCCGTACGGTTTACACAAATTGATTTTGTACAAAAAATAAAAACTAAAAGTATGTACAATGAAATTAAAAATAATAAACTATCAAAATGTCATTTACAAATTTAAGAATTAAGTTGTTGGTGCAATTGCAACAAAGGTGAGTTCACTATGATAATAGCAACTGTCAGTACAATTCTTCAAAACATTTATGTAAATGTGAAAAGGACTTTTTGCTTTAAAACTAATTTTTAAAATTTCACCATAATAGGGTATTTGTTCGGTTATTTGTTTAATTTTTGTCGAATAATTGAATTTTGCCAAATTAAAAAAAAAAGAAAAAACACAAAACACATTCATTACTTTTAATTATTGAAGTTTCATGGAAATATTAACAATTCCAGTAAAATCAATAAGGATTAATACATTATGTTTAGATGTACACATTAAACATGTGTGCATGTTTGTTGATTATTATTATTATTATGTGAACAATTTTAAAATTCCAATATGTTTAGCAGTTATAAACCTACGTATTTATCTAAGAAAATCTTAAACAAATATTATTTCTCTTTTTCATTACAATAGGTATATTGATTGAAAAAATAACAATACAAAAGAAAATGAAATTCACACATGTAATCGTCTACATTTACATTTCAAATCAATTTTGTAAATTTGAATATTTGAACAATTTGGCGCCAGTCTGAAGTAATTGAAAATGGGTCAATACATGCTCTACATATTATTTGCAAAACAAAAAAGCATAATCTTAAGCTTTAAACTTATCAAATATTTGACAAAAATGGCGTGACCCCTACAACATGAAGTTTTTGATTTTCTTGAAATATATATTTATTTCCACAGTATAATAAGCAATAACAAAAATCATTTAATACCAAAAAAATATTTATCAAAAAATAGTGGTTACGTTATTTCTTCAAATATTTAAATGAGCCTTTAAATAACTGAAAAAAAAAAAAATACATTTATTTAAATTAACCAAAATTCGACTCTAACTCATATACTATAATTTATATATCACAATTATTGCGAGTTATATATTTTCCATTTAAATATTATTTTCCATTATTAAATATTATTGATTTCTTGTAATCTATAGAGGGACCAATTGTGTCTTTACTGTATCTTTTTAGTACACCAAGGGGTGATGTAGGAAATTAATAAAATTTATCTGAAAGAAAATTACATTCATGATTTTCTATTCTGATAGTTGGTCACCTTTAGTCTCAATAGTTGGTCACCTTTTTGTTGGTTCCTCTTTGAGTGTTTTTTTTGTTGAATCAACACAAAATATAATGTTGACATTTTTTACCAATTCTGTTGGAAATGTTCAAATGTGAAGAAAGTTATTTTTTAAACCCACATAAGCTTTCACTTTTCTTATCATACATATACAAAAATATGTATATGTATGTAGAACCCTGCAGTTCGAGGTGACTGGAATAAACAAATAACCACCCTATTTGTAAAGGTACAGTGCAGCAAAACTATTTTCAAGTATCATCTCCTTATACTTGACATTTTCCCCTATATTAGGAAGGATTTACATAACACGCGTTCTACACGGCAATACGTTATGTACTTCTGGAAAAAATAGAAGTTGTGATTTTATTAGTAGTTTCTAAGCGTCTGTCGCAAAAAGGTTATAAAATTAAAACTTTTCGAAGCCCAGTAGAACAAAAATAAGTAAGAAACTATAGTCGGTCGTGGCCGAAAACATGATACTCTACACTAGTGAATTATTTTTCATA